CATCCCAATATCACTCCACATTCAGTTCTGACCCGGAACGCAACATTACAAGAGATTAGATTTTACCTAAATTAAAACGTTTTATACTGAACCAGTTTCAAGCCCTGGTTTAGCAGTGGGCGTCGTGCGGCTGTTGATGATGATAGAAGGCTATTGATGATTATATAAATATATCTATAGACCTAATACTAATTTTATGAGGCTGGCATTCATATTCATAGTGTAAAAAATCGTTAAGTTCGCCTCCTCGGATATGCGATAACTATTACCGTGGAAAATAGACTATATGTTCCGATATATAGGTGTTTTCATAACGATTTCGTCATATCTAAAACACAACTGTACTAATGATTTCATTCTGTAAACACGCTCATTACGTTACTCCAATGCAAAACGCAATTCGAAAGTGAACACCAAATAAGTTCAGGTAAATATCAATAATGAAAATAGCTTTGTTTGCATCGCGGGGCAACCGTCCACTGTTCCGATTGGTCAGTTTTCGGGGAATGAATTCTCCAGAAACGCGCACTCTTCGCAGCCGCGATCCAGCGAGTGGTGGCATCGTGCCAAATGCGCTCACCTAGCGGGTACCAACGCGGTCTAAGGACGCCAAACACATAACAAAGAGCCAACAAAAAACTGTAGTCAGTTCTTTATACTATAGTGTTACAAAGAGAAAAGATGTGGCTATTTGTTTGTATCGCATTGGCTTCGAAACTAATGAACCGATTTTTAATATTCTTTCACCTGCGGAAAGCTAAGTACGCAGGTGACATAGGCTATTATTTTACTCAAGCGAAGTCGCGGGTGTATACACAAATTAGTAAATAATTAATATAAACAACTGTCTCTGTTTCCCACGGGACTCGCAATCGCTAATGGAGTCCCTGATATAAAATTTATTCCAATCGGACAGAAACTTTATAGTGTCGCTACTAGTGTTGCCAGACGTCCCGCATTTAGCGGAATATCCCGCTTTTCAGCCCTCTCAGGGCTGAAAAGCGGGACATTTGGGTGTCCCGCCAAACCCCTGAGCGGGACACCCAAAATCCCGCTTTTTCAGCCATACCGGTAATCACTATGTGAGTGAACGACTGCCGACTATGCATGCGAGGCGCGCGATCTCATTGAAAAGAAGTTCCTTTTATGTTATGTTTTTGTTTTTAGAGTTAAATGTAGTAGCGATTACACTTCCCGATTTCCTAAGTCCTATGCGGCATACATTGCGTTATATCAAGGTATGAGAATAGACAGTTGCAAACAACAGTTATTTGAAATGCGTTTCAAATAAAAATCTGAATGAGTTTCGATATTGTAAATGTTTTATTCTGTCCCGACTTTTTCACCCCAGTCCCGCTTTTTTATGCTCATGTCCCGATATTTAGAAAAAAGAATCTGGCAACGGTAGTCGCTACCTCTCCAACGTTACTGATTTTCTACATCTTATGCAGACTATATTATAATTATGAAACTTTCACACCGCACTTTCGAATGTGCAACCGATATCAAAGTGTCAGTATAACCAGATTATTTGAAGAACAATATGTGTATACGAACGAGCTCGATGACGTAACGTCTATCATTACCGAGATTAAGCAACTTTCGCAAAGGCCAGCCACAAGATGGGTAACCCAAGATTTTGTATCACAGTTACGATTTTATTTGCTTTTCAGAGTACAAGAAATACGATCACCCATCCGCACGGTGTCTGCATATTGAATCTTAGTGAAATTCAAACAAGAGGGTAGATTTTGACATTAATACGCTATTATAATGACGATGAAGTGTATGTACACTATTAAATAAATTAAAAGCCATGTGGCAGCCCTAAAACCATTTGAGTTGATATGAATCAAGGTATGAAATGATTCATAAATTATCGCCTAGTATGACTGATTACGTTGTATGATTATAGACTGTATACAGAGTTTACTAGTGCGCGCATACTCTTAAGCACTCATTACCGTATACCATATACGCAGCTTGGCCCTGACAATAGCACTGGTATAGAATAGTTCCTCACACGTTGGTTTGGTGGCAAGTTCAGCTACTCGTTACACTCCATATTTACCTAACTGTCTAGGTTATCTATCCTAAAATTTGCCTGACATTTGCAAAATCCGACCGCAATTCCGACATATGGTAGCTCTACTTGTAGGGTCACTTCGTTACGTGATTGTGAATCATCTCTTTTGAACCTTCCACCTTCGGGATTATACACAGGAGTATTTTTTGCGCTCGCGCTAAAATCGACAAATTATATGATTAAATGTATTAATTGTGTTACCACCGTCTCTTATTCTGACGCGCTCGAGTACCAATGTCCAATAATCGACATTTTTTCTTACCGTTTGATCGGCTGCCCTAGACGCGCATCACAAATGTATACATAGTATAAAAAGAAACAAAATTCTTTCCCGCCATCTGTACACTGACATCTATTAAACGACACAAGGAATTTTAATACGGTTTTCATCAATAGGTATACTGAAACAAAATTCTTTCCCGCCATCTGTACACTGACATCTATTAAACGACACAAGGAATTTTAATACGGTTTTCATCAATAGGTATACTGAGCGATTCAAGTGGAAGGTACATTATGTTTAATACGAGACCGCAGCCACCCCAAAATAGGCTGGTGTTCACCCCAGATGATTTCGTCCTAGGTATATGACGCATGCAAACAACAATTTCAACCGGGAAAGTGGATATAAACTCTCACCAACGTGGAATCCGGTTATAAAAATGTATAAGTGTCGAAAATGACCTATCCTTCCAAAGAACGAGGCCACCATTTTTTTTCCCGCACTTCGATCTCTCTTCACTTTAGTTGGCAACTCCTCGAAAGGAAACACCCACTGAGCAGATTGTCTTTTGGTTTTAGGATCATAACAGTAAATCCAGCTTTCGTCACCTGTTAGTATGTCGAACACAGCATTTGAGTCACCTCCGTTAAATCTTTCAATCATTTTACGACACCAATCCACACGATGGAGTTTTTGAGCCTCAGTCAAATTATGAGGTATCCACCGGGCGCAAAGCTTCCTGACCGCTAAATGTTCGTGGAGGATTTTGTGCACTTGACTCATACCGATGCCTAAGCTTGTCCGAATCTGTTGATAGGTCACTCTTTTGTCAGTCTCTATCATACGCCGCACAACACAGATGTTATCTTCAGTCGTCGCCGTAGAAGGCCGTCCCTCACGTAAATCATCAGTGAGATTAGTGCGACCACGTTTAAACTCATTAAACCAGTTGTAAACAGTCTCCTCGTGACCACGGCTGCTGTAACGTAGCCGAAACGTCGAGGTAAATAATTGTTTTAAAAAAAAATGCACGAACAAGACCCGATTGCATATAATTATAATTTTTGTCTAAGATCTTCAACATAATTTATTTTTATTATTCACAATTCGTAATTTGAAATGTTGAGTAATCCAATATGATTGTCATTCGTTTCGTGAAAATTCGTCGAGTTATAAACATCATACATACTTCATTCAATAAAAAAATTATTGTAAAAAAAGATAACATTTATTTATTATACCCGTTTTAATTATGCTCACGAGTTTGAACTCTAAAAAATGTAAGTTAAATAACATGTCTAAACCGAAGTAAAGGGTTTTTCTTTGTTTGCCTTTAATTAAATCAAGATCTCAAGTTTAGTCAGCCTTTTATTCATTTGCCTAAGCATCGAACCTGTAACAAACCTTTCTTCGCTACGACTGGAAAACATATCAACGCCCATAGTATTATGCTGATTAACATTCGATTCTCACGTTTCGTTATAATACAAATGATCCATCGCCATTTTATTGTCTCCGACGTTGTACAATTGTACATCAAATGGAATGAAAAAGAATCGTACTAGTGACAGGCAGAATATATAAAAATATGCAAAAGGGACCGTGACCCTGAGAAAAAATCAATTCCGCATATATAATGCATCCATATTAACCTACGACCTTGTCAAATTGACTTTTCTATTATTGAGTATTGTAAGTATCATACCCGGCGATCGATACAATTGTTTAGCACAAATATATGTTACCAATAAACTGATTGGGTTAAATAGTAAAGAGTTTCTATACTTTAAAATATGTCATCTTTGTCTATCATTTAATTTTAAAGCTAATAGTGTGTTACTGGTTTACAGAATCTTATTGTAATCTATACATATATAAAAGGAGATAATCTTGACAGACAACGCAGAACCTAAACCGATAAAATAAGGGCTGTACCAGGCCCTTATTTTATCGGTTTAGGTTCTGCATTGTGGGGGAAATGTAGGAGCTCGACCGCATATTGTAAGGCCGGGCAATAAAAAAAAACCTAAACCGCTTGTCGTAGAGACTTGAAAATTGGACGGTACATTCGTCTTATTACTTAGAAGTGTACTAAGAATGAATTTTTGGATCCACTCAGAAGGGTGGTGTTTTAGACCTATATCGATAAAAATTGGTATTTGGGTAATTTATAATCCTACAAAAGTATAAGGTTATATTTTATTATGGGAAATTTAAATGTTACCATAGCAACCGTTGTTTATAATTTATTTGTCACTAGCTTTCCGCGTGGTCTTGGATTATAAATAAAACCTTCCTTTTGAAAAAAAAAAATCTCAAATTTAAGTACGAATCCTTTCATACCCGATAATACTAGATGTCGCTACGGTACGTTCTTGATTTCTCCATGACAACCTTTCCGGTTTTCTTTTATGTTTAAAAGTAAATTAGTTTTCAAAACTCAATAAACAACTCATATTCTATTTGTACTTTTGCGTATTTGTATTGATATCTATGTTTCGAACGTTTCAAATTTCGAAATTCGCCATCTAATGACTCATATAACGATTTAACCAAGTATTCTTAAAAAAAATACAGTTTCGAACACAGCGCTGCCACATCATTAGAGTTCAATCAAATAAAACCTACTTAAAAGTGTAATAAAGGTTTAAATATATATTTGAGCGAGCACAATGTCTATTGTGTAAATACCTTTAGTTTGGGATAGAAGTCCGGCAGCCTGTTGGGCCTCAGGTTGAGCGTGTGGCATATCTGCCGGTGGCAGGCGAGGATGGTCTTCATGGTGCCCGCGGAGCAGAACAGGTCGAACATCTCCGCTGCGGCCGCGCACTCGGGCGGCGTCGGCTCCACGCGACCCCTGTTCATCTTGCCGCCCTGCACAACGCAAATAAAACACGTATATCAGCTACTTTGGCTGCGGCAAAATGGCGCCCAAACAATCCTCATGTCTAAGAATATTAATTGAACCAAAACGTGAATACATAAAATTGTCTCAATCCAAAAATCTTGTGAATTAAATTCATCTTTAATTCAGTCTCATCTTACTTTCTTCGCCTCTGTGCACGGCAAGCTCCGCCATGCGCGAACGTGTATGTTATATACTGTGGCAGAGTTACGTCAGGAGGCCTAACCACTTAAAAAACTAAAGAACTATATAAAATTGATTGTGAAGAATATCAATAAAGACCAAATTAACTGTACCTAATTACAAATAAGACATTCATAATGAATATTTCTTTAAATAAATCCACTTTGTCTTGCGAAAGGTCGTGGGTTCGAGTCCCATCTCAGAGTTCTAGGGGCAAAGTGGATTTTTAAGCATTTTTCATTAAGAACATTTTATAGAATAGCATTGTGTATCCAAAATCGGTTAAATATAATAATAAAACATCACATTTTTTATAAAAACACTGGGCTACACTTTATTCTACTCATCTTACAAAAATGGCAATCTTAGCCATCTATAAACTCCACCACAAACCTATATTATTTTTTTCGTAATTATTGACTAGCACTATTTTGGTTAGTGTTCGATCTGCTATGTGGAAGCAACTTTCGTATGGCCCGGTCATAGAATGGGTGACCAAAAATGCATAATCTCGAACTCCTCCGTGCTTCGGAGAACACGTTAAACGTTATTCCCAACTGCGACAACATTCGTTGACAGACAAATGTATTTGTAGCAAATATTCAGCTATCTGCTCAAGGGCGTTGACTTTTTAAACAAAAAAATCTATAATCTAGTATAAAGACCAAACCTAGTCAATTAGAATGTAGACAAATAACAAACCGATGTAGTTTATTACAAGTAGCTCGGTGGTGTAGTGGATAAGCACCACGGCCCGCGATCGTTGTTGTTAAGCAACTTTCGCAAGGGTCGGTCACTGGATGGGTGACCAAAAAATTATTATCTCGAGCTACTCAGTGCTTCGGAAAGCAAGTTAAGCCGTTGGTCCCGGCTGCATTTACAGTCGTTACTATCCTCCAACCGGCAAGGAAGGCCAAGCCCCTGCAATGGACTTAAAAGTGCTGATGATGTAGTTCAATATACATTTCTCATATAAAATGACATCTACGTAGTAAAATTGTTGAATACGAAGTGTAATAATCACATATAAATAAACATAACAAAGGACCTCCATAAATTTTGTTTATGTATGAAAAAGCGTATCTTTCTGTCCCACACCGTATCGCAAAAAACAAATATATCACACCCTTTACAGATAATTAGAATGATTTACATCAAAAGTTGATTGTGTCGTAGCATTAGTCGAACTGCATGAAAGATATTCACGGTCAACGCCCCCAGGTTGAAAAGTCATATCTCAGATGACCTCGACCTTTCCAAATAGGGTTGTCAAATCTACACACTACCGAAATTCCCCTACATCCTTGTTTCATTCACTCATATATATTAGACAAAATTCATACGTTGCTGAGATTCCAAGATGACTAACACGTATTTTGGAATATCTGAATCAAAGGTAGCAAAATAGCTAAATCCGAGATAATATACTCGTAGATAAGTTCTTTTCTATACTCTTTCTTTATAAAATAAAGAGGTAAGATTTGATCGTTTAGGCTCTAAAACTACTAGACCGATTTTAAAAATTCTTTCATATACGGGAGCTGCATAATACGGGGTTAACATAGGCTATAATTTACGCATGCAAAATTGAGGAAAAACTGCTAGTATGTCATAAAAATACAAAACAACAAAATGTCACAGGAACCGCGCTTAGATAACCACAGAATTTTGAATCAATAATAAAGACTCGTTCACTGCTGAATTGTAGGAGGCAGCAACCCTAAACGACCTTGACATTGCAGACATTCGAATTGAAGGCCTTGCCTTATCATTCAATTAAAAAGGCGTTATTGAATTTAAATCTGAAAGAACATTTCAATTGTCTGAGAAGAAATGGCGAAAAAAACTCCGACAAAGACAAGTGAATTGCTGCCATTGTTTTAATATTTACAGAATGAACTAACTGTATCTATTGGTTTTGCAATGCGTGATCTGGGATGAAATTTTCTTTCATATTTATTGAAATTCGGATGTTTTTTTAATTTCAAGAGCTTCGCGTGTATTTCTAGGGATGTATTTTTGTTCAACAGCAAGTATTTTTGGATTGTCAAATCTTATGTAATGCTTGGGTCCTCCTGACGCATGTTCACACACTGCAGATTTATTTTCGCGCCTATGCTTAACGTCAGCTACACGTTCCTTAACGCGAGTTTGAAGGTAGCTATACTCTTAACTAAAAAGATAACCAACACCGTAGTCTTATGTGAACACGGAACCTGTAAAGGGTCTGAAATGTCAATAAAACTAAATACAAACGCGATTAAACCGTTTAAAAGTTGTTTCATATATGGATAGTGTGCTTTAAAATATAAAAAATCAATCATAAAGATATCGAGACGTATTTACTATCATTTACCTTGTGTCCGTCTACGTAAATTATGATAAAACAATACAATATTTACCCATAATCGATACAAAATATATTATACATATTTTTGGATTATCTGTATTAAAAGAGATTAAAAAAAAACATCTAATTTGACACGAAATAACCTGAATGAATCATTAATAGCACACCTGCCTCGCTTTTTAGCCGTTGCAGATAACATTGATTTCATTCCTTTATGCAAATTATTGCCCGGAATGAGATAATGCAATACCACGGAACACATGGCACACGAACAGGTGGGCGACGTACACCGTGAAGGTTAACAATCTATTATGGATTATCAAATTCTATGTATTGAAATGAAATATAAAATTTAATGAGCATTTTTTTTAACAAGCGGCGTTGAGACGAGTCTCTGACTAAACTTTATTGTTCGATATTATGAAAGACTACATTTTTATGAGAGACTACACAATAAATGAATTATATGACCTTTCAAATAAAACACCGATGCTGGTGCAATTAAGGGGCTTCTAAGCCGCCAATATTTCTCGGCAATTAGTAGCTCGGTGGTGTAACGTTTAGTTCTGCGGCCTGTGTTTGTTGTGAAGCAACTTTCGGAAGGGTCGGTCACGGGATGGGTTAAAAAACAAATCTTGAGCTACACCGTGCTTCGGACGATACGCTAAGCCGTTGCTCCCGCTGCATTTGCAATCATTAATATTCTCCAATTCGCATTGGGACGGCGTGGAGCGACCATCCTTCTCGTTAACCGTACATAAGGTAGGCCTGAGCCCTTACAATGGGGGCGTAAAAGGCCAGATGATGAGTGACTGCACTATCGGCAACTTATGGCTGGCCATGGCAGAAATTGTTTTTGGGTGTTCGGCAACCTGTCAAAACAGTATCGGCCATACCTATTTGTTTGGGTTTAGCCAGGTCGGAATATAACTGCAATATTGCACAACCTGGCTGGCCACTGGGTTGCCAGTGGCCAGCCACTAATTTCCGAAAAATATTTCCCGTTTAGCAGCCTTTAGCTTATATTTAAACGAATATAATTTTCAACTTTTATCTTATTCTACTTTACACACGTTAGATTCGTTTGGTACAGTGTGAATATGATTTTAAAGCGAGATTAAGACCTAAATCACCTGTAGAAGAATCGGCAAAACAAACATTCTATATTATGTAATAAAACACTCTTAATAAGTTTCTTCTTAAATAAGCACGTTATTGAGACGGTCTAGACATTCCACAGAAACTTTTAAATTTTCTTTAAACAAAAATAAGGGACGTCTAAACCACAGCACGCACGTATTTAAATAAAAAATCATCTAAAATTTAACCTTTACCTTTACTATTGAACTTGGAATCGGACAGTGACCAAACCAATACAGTACAGATTCTGATCGCGTAACACTAATTTCAATGTTATTTTATGAGCAAATTGTCAACAAAGTAACATAGATAGTTATTGAACATTATCGAACTCTCCTGGCGTACCAGGTGTTCCAGGCCTGATCTCAGCACTGAGTACTGGGCGATGAATACCCTTAGTACCTACTTCAACATACTGAAATATTAAGCTACACATTTTTGTCACGAGCTCTCAGTAGACCATAGAGTTCCTTAACCCAATAATAATTACACAAACAGTCTTATCTTCGTACACTATAAAATAGAAAATGTCAAGCAGATTTATCGAGAGGAAAACGTATATTTTACTATAGGGTAGGTGTACCAGTAGGTATACCGCGTGAATCTAGCTAATATTTTAGTTAGACCAGCAGGAAATTAATAAATTGCGGCCAAATACCACGTAACAAATATAAATAAAAGGTAAATAGAACAATAAAAGTTAAATAGATACCCTTATGGCAATAAAGCATATGCATTATTTTTTTACCTTAACACACGCTGTCAAGTAAATGAATTTCAAACGATCATGTCTGGTAACATTTTTAATTAAAACAAAAATACAAAAATATCTTATATTTACATCCCAATATTTTAATATATTATTATGATGTAATTAATGGTTGTTGGGTTCAATCAAGTATTTATATATGATATTATTTATTTATTGCAGTAAGATCGTTCATTGCACTTCCTCTTGTTATCAGCGTAATGTTTACTATATTATTATTAATTAGCAATAGTAAATAAATCAAACACCGCAGATAACATTTATTTCAAAAACGTTTTAAATTCAAATTAAATACCTATACGTACTTGTGCTTGGTATGACTTTTTACTACTTTAAAACCATTAACTTGTTTTACCTACGCAAATATTTTACGACTGAATATACTTAGGTCATTAATTCAGTTCATAACTTTGAAAGTCAAATTCAATATAGTAGTATTATATTATTAATATATCACTGATTCAAGATTTATTTTCACAGCAAAGAAAAATCTATTCATTATGGTAAAATGCAATTCA